TTTCAAACTGCTGACCTGAGGTTCACAGCCTGATTCGTAATCACTACGCTACCAGAGCTCCTTTCAGGGTCCCTTAGGGTTCCTTAATACTAAGTACATAAAGGCCCACAAGAAAAAGCAATCATGTTGCCTCAGAAGACTAGACAGGGATGCGTTTTGTTATTGAAGAGCATGGACACCATCGCTCACATTTACTGAGACCCTCCTCCATGCCAGTGACTGTTCCATGTACTTTATATGTGGTCATTATTTTAGTCTGGAACATGGCTCCATTTTACACTTGTCACCACAGTCCAGTCCGGGTGGGCCCGCACAATCTGCCAGGTCACCTCTTTGACTCCTTTCCTCTCTATCTCCCTCCAGCCCACTCCCCTCACCCGGATCACAGTGTCCTCCCTCTTCTGCAGTCACACTCCCGCCTCAAGCCTTTTGCACTGACTGCTAGGGACACTCTCCCCCTAGATGTCCACATGGCTCCCTCCGTCCTCTCCTTGAAGTTTTCCCTCAATACCCCCTTCTCAATGAGTCCTTCTGTGATCTCCTTATTTAAAATTGCAAACCATCTCATCCTCCCTCCTTATCTTTCCCCATTCTCCAGAGTACTTACTACCTTCTAACAGGATATATAATTTACTTCTCCTGTTTGTTGTCTGTCTCCCTTCATCTCTTGTATTACACACAGCTGTATCCCCTCTGCCTAAAGCAGCACGTGGTACATGGTAGGTTTTCAATAAATATGTGTTGGATTATGGACAGCCTTATGAAGTAGAGACTATTGTTATCATGCCCATTTTGCAGATGGGGAAACTAAGGCACGGAGGCATTGTCACTTGTCCATGGTCAAGCAGATTCAAACACAAGTATCTGGCTTCAGAACCCACAGTGTCAGCTGCCCCATCAATCTAGTCTAATTTAGATTTTCGAATTCACTTCCCCAGTACTAGTTTTCATTTTAAATGCTTTCAGTGACTTGGCTTGGTAAAAAAAAAATCTCATGAAAATTAAAATTAAACCATTATTGCAGACCTGTAATCACTGTACAATTTGAGTGTCAAAAAGTCACTAAAAATGTGAATGAAGTTCAATTATTGTCTTCCAAGCACCAGTGCCGCATCCTGATGTCTGCCATCTGAATTCCCCTCCCTCAAACTCTACACTCCACCTTTCTCCGATTTTTGTTTTTATTTGTCTTGGCTTCTGTAACTTTACATTGTCGGAGGCTGTAACTTCATATTCTTAAAGGAAGCATTTCTCTCCCGGGCATTCAGAAAAAAAGAAAAAAGAGCATAAACTTCCTGTCCCACCCCATAACCCTGTGGTCCGCCACCTCAAAGATTGAATCTTCTGCTTCTTTCAGTGACCCCTGGAATTCAAAGTACCTGGCATCTGTTGCTGTCTCTTGTTGGGTCCATTTTGCCCATCCCCAGTTGTCTCTTAACAACTCCTATGGGGCTCTGTGGTAACACCCAGACTGATTCTTTCTCTTTGCTTCCTCACTGGTTTGGGGGTTCATCTGTGCCAGGCAACGTGCCCCTTCCAGCCTGCAGATTATCCCTGACTCTCCCCAAGATGTCCTGTGCCCTCACCAGTCTGGGATCAGACATTGGTGGGGAGGGGCTTCTAAAGTACCCCTTCAGCTATGGACTGGATCTTGAGGTAAAGGGAGAACCCAGTGCCCTTTTAGAATCTCCTTTTTAAGGAGCCCTGGTGGCACAGTGCATTAAGCATTGCACTAACTTCAAGATCGGTTGTTCAAACCCACCAGCTGCCCAGAGGGAGACCGCTGAGGCTGTCTGCTCTCGTAAAGATTTACAGCCTCGGAAACCCTATGGAGTAGTTCTACTTTGTCCAACAGGGTTGATGTAAGTGTGAGTTGACTGGATAGCCGTAGGTTTTTCTTTTTTATATAACCACAGTAATACATGTCCTTTAAAAAAAATTTTTTTAAGTGACAAAACTTATTTTTTAGCCTACACAGAGAGGTGTTGCTGTCAATAGCAACGGAAGGAACCAAACATGAAACAAAACCCCGCTGCCATTGAGTTTGGATTCTGACTTCTGGCCACCTCCCAAGTCCCAGAGTAGAACTGCTCCATCTGGTTTACTTGACTGTAACACGCTCTGGTAGCTGTACCGTGCTCTGGTAGCGTAGTGGTTACAAATCGGGCTGCGAACCTCAAGGTCAGTAGTTCGAAACTATTAGCTGTTCAGTAGGAAAAAGAAGAGACTTTCTGCTCCCGTAAAGATTTACTTCCTCAGGAAACCCTGTACAGGGTCGCTATGAGTCAGAACTGACTGCACGACACATCACCACCACCACCACCACCACCAATGTTTATAGAAGTAGGTCTCAGGCCTTTCTCTGCCTGGACTGGTTTCCAGTCATCAATCTTTACACTTAGTTAAGAGCAAACCGCTGACCACTTGGGGACCTTCAGTACCTTATAGTTCCGAATTCAAGAAAACATAGTAGGCTTGGAACGAAACCATCTCAACACATCACACCCTCTCCAAGGCAATGAAGTCTAACACAGTGGCATTTCAATAGTATTCCTTTTCAGTAACTATGTGTTAATTCAGTTGCCCTTGTGTGCATATTGAGAGGAGGGTCTTAATTGAAAGGAATTGGGGAGGGGGTCCCCAATGTATCATTCCTTCAGCAAAATGTGGGATGGGAGATGGGAAACCTTCAGCCAGAAGCCCAGATCTCAAAATAGAATTTAAAAAAATTTTTTTTTTAATCAAAGTATCACATGGCTTTAAAAAAATTCAAACACCAAAGACCACCCCACAGGTTCCAACAGAAACCCCATTGCCCTTCTCTATAGCTCTTCCTCGCCTAGCTAGGGCTGTGTCTCCTGCTTACTTGATTCCTGCATCTCTAAATCACAGTCGTTCTTGCTCTCCATCTGATTTTATAAACTTTTCCAACGTTAATTTTACTTATGTATTTTTAAAATTAGGTCATGCATGTCTAGGGTACAAAAATTCACCTGGTTATTTTAGATAGAGGGGAGAATCTGGGGGCGGGCCCTTTTTTCTTCATCTGTGACCTCATACTGAGGCTCCGGAGTGGGATATGGCAAAGGCCGCCCCTAGCCAAGTACTCCCCACGACCCTAGCCAGGCTGTTGGGACCTGAACTGGGAGCGCAGGATCCACCCCCCCACCCCTTATCCTTGCGTTGAGCCTGGCCGGCACGCACACTGCGCAGACTCCTCGCTGCAGTGGGTGGAGCCTCTAGAACCTGCCCCCTCTCCTCCAGCCCCGGCTCAGCTTGTCGGGGCAGAAAGCTGGGGCCCAGCGGAGGTAGCAGCTGCCGCCTGTCGAGTAAGGCTGAGGCCCCATTTGGGTGGGGGTGGGGTGGACAGTGGGCTGGGTGGTGGCGAGGAGGTCCTGGTAGTCACAGGCTCCCGGTCTGAGATGTCTGATTGGAACTTGGAGATGAGGGCAGAAGAGCCATCTGGGCAGTCTCAGAGTTAGGAAAAGCCGGCACCAAGATTTAGAGGTCCACCGACCCTCTCCAGAGCTGTTTTGTGTACGTTTGTGTGTGAATGTCCAGGTGGGAGCTCAGAAGAGGGCTGATGGAGGGGAGGGTAGAGTCTAGTGGGGGCAGAGTGGGCACCAATGTGGGGGTGGACTAAACGCTGCACAGGGATGGGAAGAAAACTTCAAGGCGTTGGACAGTGAAGGGTTTCGAAAATCCTGCTGACCAGCAAGGGACCAGCTTCCTCCTTTTGGGGAAGCAGGCGTGGTACCACGAGCCCTTGCGATCACGGGAGAGGAGACCCAGTGCATCCCGTGAGCCTCAAGACTGATAGCGCTCTGTGATATCCCTCAAAAGGTCGGAACACCCCACTCAGCCCCAGCTTTTGTTCCCCCGCAATTTGTGGAGACCCTGACACACCCACCTTCCCGCCTTGGCTCTGCGGATCCCCCCTGACTGCCAGGCATGATGAAACCTAAGCTCATGTACCAGGAGGTAGGCGGATGGGAGCCAAGTGGGGAGGGGCTGGGCACTGTGGAGGGTTGGGCGCCCCCCCTGAGTCCACCTGTCACCCCCGCTGCTACCCCACGTTCCCAAAGCTGAAGGTGCCCGCTGAGGAACCTGCTACCGAGCTGCCGGTGAATGAGATAGAGGCATGGAAAGCTGCCGAGAAGGTAGGAGTTCCCCTCCATCCTGCATCTGTCTCAGCATGGGCTGGGCCACCCCCACACCCCCAGGGCTAGCTGACCACCTTCCCCTACCCACAGAAAGCCCGCTGGGTCCTGCTGGTCCTCATCCTGGCTGTGGTGGGCTTCGGTGCCTTGATGACTCAGCTGTTTCTATGGGAATACGGAGACTTGCACCTCTTCGGGCCCAACCAGCGCCCAGCTCCCTGCTATGACCCCTGCCAGTGAGTGGGAGGAGGGACCCAGATGGCGCTGGGGGAGGGGCCCTACTGGGCTAGGGACGCTCAAACACAGGGCCTGCACTCTGCCACACCCAGGGACAGGGACCCAGGGAAGAGAGCCAGATGCCTAGAGTTCATGCTCACAGACTCTTTCTCCATTCCCCTCTACCCACAAGTAGTGTTCCTGTGATGGCCTGGTGGCATCTTTCCTCCACATATGTGGACAGACACACACACACACAATCTTCCCTCCACATCTGTGGACAGACAAGTAGACAAACACAGACACTCCATCTATGATCTGGCATCATGTCTGTGGGCACACATGCAGACATGCAGACATCTTTTGCAGAGAACCGTAAATACAAGAACACAGGCATCCATTGACTTTCCTGAGCAGATTTCAGGCCCCGTGTGGCTAACATGTAT